CCACACACTCTGCTATGAGGCTGTTTGTTGAATGACACCATATTTGTATTTCTCAGTACTAGAATTTAGTCAAATTAATTAAAAAATACGATTAACAAAATATGTATCTTTCACATCTCCGTAACGTGAAAGATAGCATTATTTCCTACACAAGCCATCAGCCACACGGCCTTCGAGGAGTACATCACTTCGGCAGCATTGATTGAAGACAAGTGAACTATTGACTGGTTTCGACACACAGTTTCTCATCAGCAGGTTTTCTTGAATCGACGAACGGCCGATCTTATAGGCAAGGACATTCCCTTCATGATAAATATATGACAGGAAACGTTTCACAGCACATAGACCAGAATACTTAATTACATTTAACGAATGCAAACAGAGCGTAAGTTATATATATTCGGAGCACACGCCACTGTGTTCTTAAATGATTAACTAATCTGTATGCTTAATTAGGGGTGCATGCGTAATTAGGGCTGCCTGCATAATAAATGTCATTCCATTGCCATGCTGGCTCTTCCTTGAACTCGGTGCTTTTAACATAATACGGCAACTATGACGTTTAATTCGGGCTGACGTTATCGAGTTACGGAATTGTATGCCACAGGCTAATTGTGCATATATTTATGAACAGAGTGTTCAGTCATTATTCCATGAGAATTGTCTCGGCGAGTCGTGATATTAATGGTATATGTGTGTGAGAGGTGGTATGTTTGAAATGGTAAACTTACGAACCCTTTCGATACAAATAGGGAGTCTAAGAATGCGGCATAATATGTGAACTGAGCATACAAAAACCCCTCGGCGTGTTTGTCCACACCCACTCACACTCGTGCTCGTGAGTGGATCATGAAACGGCAAGGCCGTTTTGATGCCCAGCCCCAAATAACACGTGTTGGCTGTTTGACCATACCTCACCATGCTCGCGTGTATGGGGGTCGGTGAAGGGGGCAGCCATTGCAGATACCAAGGATACCCCCCCTCGTCCCCCCTTATGTTAGCTATGGACAGGAATCAAACTCGGGGGACAGATTTTAATTAATTCTAGATTTGAAGCTTTCGTGACTGCAATGATTCATATTCTTAGGTTTTTTCGGTAAAGTCACGTAGGTAAAAACATTAAAAAGTAAAATAAAATAAAAATAAAAATCACGATGTTTCGGAGGCAACAAGATTTTAATTACTATACTCTTTGGTTCTTTCGCTAAAGTCACGTAGATAGAAAATTAATAGATCACGACGTTTCGATCACAACACAAGCAACCGTCATCAGGTGAAACAAACACAGCAGGAGAACTGCTACGTCATGATCTATTAATTTCCTACCTACGTGACTTTACCGAAAAAATCAAAGAGTATGGATTCCTGAAGTCACGAAAGCTTCAACTCTTTTAATTACTGTTGAGCCTTTTTGTCAAACAACTGTTGGATGAAGGCCTGCCCAGGTTGCGTCGAACAGTGGGGGATGGTTGTGACCATACTTTACCACACTGCTCAGTGCGGTTTGGTGCAGTGGGGGGGCGGCTCGGGAGCGGTGCGCGGATCGCTCACCAGCCATGCTCGCCGTGGCCGGGAGTCGAGGGCGGGTGTCTGGGCTTCTCGTGCAGTGGCAGATCTTCTCGATGGAGTTCGTCAGTCAACAAGCGGTCGCGCTCTCTCAATCATTATTTACAAAGTACGGTGGGAACTAATATACATGCAGTGTATACACATTCATTTAATGGTCGTATCGTTAAATATGTATACGTATTACAAGTGGTTGAAATGTAACTTTTCACAACACAATACAAAACGTGTTGTGTTGTGAGAAGTGCCGGCATAGAGTGCCAGCGTTTACCAACTCGATTCCCATGGCAGTGCATCATCACCCTGATCGTGAGTGGGCCATGCGCAACTTAACAGCAGCGCAGCGTTGTTTCAGGTCGGGCCCGGCACGGTTATTCCATTGGCTGTGAAATATCTTGGCAGAGCTGAGAGCCTTATGAGATCAAAGAAAAGCAGTGTCCTTGCTGCAGGCGTAGAGAAGTAAGAAATAGCAAATTGCATTCATTTATTCATAGCCATCTTCCAAAATAAATAGAGCTGCTTTGAAGTTGCGTTTGTATGCAGCGTACGTGCTATCAAGAATTTTAAAAACACATCGACAGTGAGTAGGACTACGGCGATTGGTTTCAACGTTTGCCAGGCTTGACGGGTTCTACATTTTACTTAGAAGCTGCAGCTCACTTCAAAATTATACAAACGTAGTGTTGACTAAAGATACAAACATAATCTTTGTCATACATCTCTATGCACACTTCGTCTTTGGTTCCGTTCTCTTTGTCAACAAAACATTGATAAGGTTTACTTTTCAGTCCCGGATCCTGTTTGTCTCAATATCACCACAGGCGTTGCAAATATACTGAGCATTTTATAAATCATTTCTAAGTCATTTCGGCACTTGCAGTTTGCACGATTTTTCATAATTTACGTTCTGAGTTTGTAAATCGTGACCTCAGCTGCGGTCGTGTTATTTCTCAAGCCGGTTTTGTTCGTTTCATTATTTCAGGATTTGTGGCCCTCAACACGCTAAAATGGCTGGTCGGTAGAGAACGCTTTCGAATCACCTGTGTAGCTGCTGATTATGTCAGAGAAATAAATGAACCACGTTCACAATTTGTGTTTTCATCATTTTGTGAAATTATTGGAAAATTATCGTGAAAATTAATTCCACTTTATTCTTACCCTCAATTAAAATGTCTCTCGGTTGTTCCAGGATACTTTAATCGAATATTCTATTCTTGTTCCGACGTGCCAGAATGTTGACAAAGCTTTAGAAATTATTTTTTTCTTCATTATGAATCTGCTCGGTCAATGATGAAACTAGAATTTAAATCAACCTACTGCTGTCGCTAACCGTTGAGACGCACAGTCGGCCAGCCCGATTAGCATGGTTAATTTCATACGGTGCTAAATAACTTCAATATCGGTACATCCGGCACATACATTCTATAATTATCGTAGAGGCCACCGCCTCGCGAGATGGAATTTCAAGTGGCGCTGCACAGCGAACGACATCTGCGGATCTTTTAGCTCTTGGTTTGTCGAGTAAAAATATCGTCTGCTTAACTCCGTCGAGATGGACATTTCGATTGTGAAGGACAGAAACGATGAGGCGTATTGTCTGCTTATTCATTTTGTTCGTTATGTTCTCCATAAATGCGCATATAATAATTTCGTCTCATAAACACTCGAGGTAAAACCCCGGAGATTGATTTACAAACTAAAACAAATTTCAAACACAATAACGCCACGGAGCACCCGCGAAGCGCTCATGGCTCTGGTTCATTAATTGTTTGGCAATTTAAACTTTGCGGTAAACAATAAAGGAACTAATCTTAAACACACAAACAACCGTTAAATAGCACAGCAGTTGGAAGTGTAAGGACACAAACGGTGAAATTTTCCGAAGGAAAATACGTTTTGTGGAAACGTGTCTGAAGGCCCCGGGGTAACGAGGCTCCCAGACATCAGAAGACGCAGCTCAGCCGTCGCGTGATTTGCATTAATCAATCGTAAGGGTAATTAACGGGATGACTGAAGCCTGAGGTCTGCTTCGTATCTTCAGAATGAGCCCCAATTTAAAATGAACATTGCATGTTAAGGGCCTCGGGGAGGCTTAACGAGCTCCTTGAAAGTCGTCGCGCACGCGGCGTCGCGGAGCGAGCGCAGCGCTGCCGCGCAACGCTCGCCACAAAGGCAGCGAGCGGATTGCCGGCGATGTTGAACGTCGCTTATAACGGCAACAACAACGGTGAACGTGGTCAGAAGCAACAACATTAAAATCTCTATGGGACCGTGCATCACGTGCTTAACTATGTTACTAAAAGTAATAATATTGTACAAAAACCCCCCAGTTTTATAATATATATATGTATATGGGCACTCTCAATTCCTTTGTATTATACAGAAGCAGTAAAAATATAATGATGATGGAAGTCATTTACAGGCCTTTGTCAATTCATGCTAGATGAAAGATTCCTCCTCATGCCATGTCGGTCATAGCAGCTGTTTGACCATACTTCCCCTCGCTGGTCAGTGCGGGTTTACGAATGATGGGGCTGTCCAGGACCAGTGAAGATTGTACTCGCTGCCAGTGACACATCAACAAGTGCACGTCTGTGTGCTCGATGCGTTACAGAGACTCGGCCGAGAGATTGCAGACGTGGTGCACACGAGTCGGTGCGAGACCTTCTGTCGTGGTCGAGCCGCTCTGCCGCTGCTCCCCTGGCTGTTGCCGTGGCGACCTCCTCCTCCCTTCCCCTGCGCTTTGGGAATCTCAGCGCTTCCCACTTGGCCTCGACCCTGTCGAGAGCCACGCACGACACGTTTAGGAGTCGGAGAAACAGAATGGTCCCTGCCTTTTTGTCATCTACCGGATGTAGATTGTCTTGCCTGACAACAGTTGTGCTTGTCCACGGTCCGCGTTGTAAAAATATAACCATAATTTATACCAAATTTTTGGTGATGCCACATTAGCAGTCGTGCACAAGTAAAAAAAAAACCCCAAACACATTCGTCAATAATACCGCAACCTTGAGAGGAAACCACTTTATGACGTAGTCGACGTTTTGGGGCATTAGCCTTCACACGCTGCCCATGATCATATTATGGGGAAGGGTCATTACCCAAAACGTCACCTGCTATTTGTTGTGTACCTTTGTAAGGCCGCGGTGTTATTGGGGAATGTTTTGCGTTTCCATAATTACTCACTTCACACTGCAGCCGTCCGTGCCCAGGCCACGTTTGTGACCCAGCGGCCGCAGCGCGTCTCGCGCTGTGGGAGCCCCAGCGAGTGCCGCTTTTACACCTGTGAAAAAAGAGCTTTACAGCACATTGGAATCCTCCGGTATAAATAAATATTCTGATTCTGATACCCACGATGTTCGCGCTTGCCCATCGCGCAGCAGCAGCAGCGCTGATCACGTCTCCCCCCCCCCCCCCCCATCGTGTCACCGCAGCATGCAACTGCAATCTGCACGCACGCAAGTGCCGCTTCAACATGGAGCTGTACAAGCTGTCGGGCCGCAAGAGCGGCGGCATCTGCCTCAACTGCCGGCACAACACGGCCGGGCGGCACTGCCACTACTGCAAGGAGGGCTTCTACCGCGACCTCGGCAAGCACATCAGCGACCGCAAGGCCTGCAAGCGTGAGTTTAAACAGTGCCGGATTAAGCTAGTGCGGGGCATGTAGCGTATGTTATAAAGGGGCCCTAAATAAAAAAAAAAACACTTAAATATTAAAACACATACATTTTTAACTCGCACAGTAAAGTAATTGTATTTTTTCGTTTGCTATACAGACAGATAATACGGGAAATCGCTAACCTTAAACACCCAGTCGTTCATGAAAGTTGAAGGCAGTATAGTACTCTAGTAATAGAGCAAGTGCAGAATCACTGAACCAGAATTTGATAGTTTGAAAGCGTTTAGCGCGGGCCCCTTGATAGTGCGGGGCCCGTAGCTAATACACATGTAGCTACTTTTGCTACTGGGACAATCCGGGACTGCGTGAGTAGCGCCACACCCAGCGCCGATCCCTCCCTCGTCGCCTGCGGTTGATCCTCATGGTTCGGTTCATGGCGAGTTGCTTTGGTGTCCTGTGGAGTGGTTGCGTGCACGTGGACCTATGTCTAAGAGAGGGTCCATGCTGAGGCCAGAATGCCTTCACTCACCCGACGCGTACGAAAGGTAACGCCCATAATCGAGGTTTTTTTAGGTTTATGCGATCTAACCCAAAAAAAACTCTATTATTATATTGGTCGTGAAAGCCTGCTACGTGTTAAACTGAAAGGTAACGTTTAGAAATCTGCGCCAGCCTGCCGCTCGGCGTGGTGCAGTGGCGACAGTTGCCCCTCCCTCACTTCCAGAAGGTGCTGGCTTCGATTCCTGACTCGGGTGTCCTTTTGTGAACAGTTTGTTTATTCTGCATGGGTTTCTTCCAATAGCCAACAAAGCACACACGCATAATGTCATTGGTCTTGGCCAACCGTCTCAAATCTGGCAGGACCCTCCTGAAACATAAGTCTTCAGTCTCAGTGAGGCTTTCCTGGGTACATGTAGTGATTGTTGTTATGAGTAGCTCAGCAACCTGGCTGTTGAGCTGTCATTCACGTGGACCTACGTGCCTTAATGACCCCTCGTCAGACGGCCGTTCAAGGAACACACACGACCAGCAGTCGGTCTAATGAGTCCGTCTAATGAGCCAAGAGGTGCAATGTAGATTGTAACGAGCCAAGAGGTGCAATGTAGATTGTAACGAGTCAAGAGGTGCAATGTAGATTTTGTGTGGCGCTCCTGGCTCCTGGGCTCGAGGTATCGGCCCTGTCATGGTGAATCCAAGTCCTTCCCCGGCACTTCTGATTGGCACGGTTGGCTATGTACGGTACGAAAGAAGGTCAACATACATACATACCATTCATCCTGGATGTCACCTGCAGCTGGGAATCAAACTCAGGTGTCGAAACTCAGAGCGCAGTGTTCTAACCACTGCGCCACTGCTCTTCCCAATTATGTAGTATTTTTGTAATTAATTTGTTCATTTGGAAATATAACGCCCCCTCATCCCCCCCCCATCAGTCTTGTTGCAACAACATTAGTTTAATACACGATATAATTTATATCGCCAAAACGTCTCTGCTGATGACAGCAGCCTTCGCTCACCACTAGTGCCACGGGCACGACCACCTCAGAGCCCACTCCCGCATCCTGCCTGGACGCGCTCCCACCTCAGATTCCTTCAAACTCCCTCCGGCTAGTCGCTGCCAAGACTGAAGCACTCCTCGTCGGAAAAGAGAGTCCACTCTGCGCAGAGACTCCGTGTTGAGTGCGCGTCTCCTAAGCTCAAAGAGCAATAGCAACTTGTAATACAATTCCTCCTATTCAGCCGTCTGTGAGGCTGACTATAAATTAATGTGTTTCTTTTTTAAATTAATGAATGGGAGTTTTCACTCTTCAGCATAGGATAACACGGGCCGCTCCCTTGCTCCCCATGTTTAGGTTATAATGTATCTTGTGACAGTTTAAGCACAAACATCTACCACTCTATATATTTTTCTATATATCATTGACACTAGTGTAGTTTGTTTCGAATAGCTTTAATTTATTTTTCTCTCCATCTTAATTTGCCGTGGACGGCCTCCGTGCGTGCATGTTTAGTCACGAGCTGTGGGGAGGAGATTGCTGGTTCACGTTTCAACACTCGTGGAGGCTCTAGCGATGGTCTAGCTGTGAAAGCCAATGCCCCTTTAATGAGCCAACTTGACTTAATGTGTGGTTAACGTTTGGTGTGGCTTGCCAGGATTATTGTACCGCATGAAACGTATTGCTTATTGGACCTAGTCTGACATAAAAAGACATAACTCACAGCACAACATCGTCATTGGCATCCCTACGGAGAATATGCAGCAACAACGTTGTTTCTTACTTACAAAAAATACAAGGAGCACCATGATTATGTTACAGTACTTATATATGGAGAGACACATTTGGGAAGGAGGGGTATTGTCAACTTTATATATTTTATTAATTTCAAGTGAGATTTCCTGCAACACGATACCATCGTTGGTTCCAAGGCATAATGTGAATAATTAAATGTTGCTCAACTTGTATTCGGGGAAACATTAGCATTGGTACACATCTTCAGGGCAGCGCGACCAAAGCCAGGACCGTGAGCCAAGCGACGAGCAGGGGACTAATGAGCGGCACTTGCAGCGTGGGGCACGGCCGGGCGCCAAGCGCATTGTGGTCACGGTGAGCTACTCGGAACCAAGGCCGCCGAAGCCAATGGGAGGGAGCCGAGCGAGAGTCGCCGTGGCAGCGAGGGAGAGTCACTGTGGGAGCCGAACGAGTCACCATGGGAACGGAATGAGAGTCGCCGTGGGAACGGAATGAAAGTCGCCGTGGCAGCCGAACGAGTCGCTATGGGAACTGAACGAGAGTCGCCATGGCAGCCGAACGAGAGTTACCGTGGCAGCCGTACGAGAGTTGCTGTGGGAGCAAACAAGAGTCTGCGTGGAGGGGCAGCCACCGTGGCTGCCTCTGAAGCGGAAGAACCGAGTTCCGATCACAGACTAAACTTCATCGGCCACGTGGCCCAAAGCTCGAGAGAGTGGCTCGCGATTGGAGTTGAGTGGGTTAACTCGGCCCATCATCCCTGCCTCTAAGGTCGGTGAGATGAGCACCACTCGGTGGGGAAGAGCAACAGTGGTGGTCCGATGGATAGACTCTCCCCCACCATAGGAATGTGGAATTATCGTCACTGGTTCAAGGCTGTAAACGAGAAATGAGCAGCGCCTCGATGCCCGATGGAGACGGAGATCACTTTGAGTCTCGTGCTCAAGAAACCGAATTTGGCTCTGCGTGCATAGAGCGGGTGGAGGAGCTTCCACTCGTGCACATGGACGCCTGCACGTACAGCGCAAGCCAACATAAACATCAACCGCACAATCACTCTTGTCACTTATGTCTCAGAAAAAATGCATATTTTGGGTAAAACCATTATCAAAAGTATGGCGAATGATGCACATCAGAGTTAAAGAGTCGAAAACACGTATCCTTCCCATGTCTCTCCCTCCATATAAAGGCTCTGTATTGTTTAATTGTCTTAGGATCTGTTACTTCCTGGGGTTTGAGAGGAAGATCGATGAGAAATCCATGTCACCGGTGTCCAACGAGGCTCACGTTTGACCTCTGCTGACTTGAAGAGGTGTCCGTGGGGGGTGATCGAGTACCCGCTGCTAACAAATTCATCTCGATTAGCAGTGAGAGGGGGCGGCGCACCGTTGTGCGTGAGGGCGGAATGCTCTTCGGAGAAGAAAGAAAGTGGCAAAAGAAAAGCTTTTGTCCCGCGCTCGATTTGTGTGGCCAACAATGGCAACGCTTGGGCCATTCAGATGGAAAGCAATATAAACAGGCCCATTTGAAGGATTACGGCCTAAATTAAAAGTGAAGTTTTTTTTTTACAATTTCCAAGAGGAGCAATCCCACGCGTGCAATGTTGAGGGGGAGGGAGGGGGAGGGTTGCACGGAAAGGATAAAAAAAATGAGTCGACGCAAGGCAAAGTGATGTTTGGCCTCGAGTGAACGGAAACGTTTTTTTTATTTCTCGTTTTGAGAACGCATTGGATTTTTGAAAGAGCAGGAAATAAATGACTCCTTTGGGGGATTTACCTCCCCTCTGCCACAGTCGTGACTGTCCCTGTTATAACGAGGCACTTATTCTGTATTTTATGGATTAGTAATGCACTTTTATTGTATAAGTACGTGGGTCATTAATAATAAAGCTGGTAAATAGAACTTATTAAGCTTTATAAGCCATATTCTTTGGGTCTTTCGGTCAAGCCACGTAGATAGAAAAATAATGAAATTATCACGACGTTTCGATTGCAACACAGGCAATCGACATCAGGTGAAAAAATATAACGAGAGAGCTGCTGAGGCAAAAGAAAGACCCAAATAATATGAATTCCTACAGTCACGAAAGCTTGAAGTCAACTTTCGAAGCCATGTAAATATTTCACTGGTGTAACCATCAACAGCATCAGCACATAAAAAGGCCAATGTACAGAGCTTCTTCATGAGTGTAAAATTAAAGACACAAGCCATAGTTGTAGTGCGATCGTAGCCATGCAACCCAAGCTATGGACCATAGAGTGAAGCCACTGTGGTTTGTGCTCCTTGAACGGAGGAGGAAGAGCAATACGACACGAACTCTGTCTGCTGAAGCCCTCTCATGGCCAGCAGGCATCGACCGTGACATTTCCCTCCTGAACATACTGCCGCCATCATGTGCAATGTTAGAATATATCTGTTGAGAAACTCCTCACTCGGCTTCAAGACTCGTTGGCAAGGCCCTGCGTTGGGATATCTGGGCAGTTTTTGTAAGAAGTGTTTGCATTGGGGAAAGAAGCTCGGATGTATGGAGAATATCCATATGACGAGGTACAACTGTAAGGTCTGCACAGATGGGTTTATCAACACACTCGCCGCACTGCTATTTCCTAACTCGTCACCCAGAAGATTTGAGATTTTCCCCAATCTCTACGCGAGCCGTCAAACCAGGCATGAGCCTCCAACAACTTTAATGTGAAATAATGATTTGTGTCGCTGTGGAGAACAAAAGTAACAAAGTAAACAATCAGAAAATGAA